AAGAGGCTCCTCTGTCCTCAGCTCGTTACCTGTATTAATGGCACCTGTTTGAACTTGTTATCAGTATAAAAGACACCTGTCCACAACCTCAAACAGTCACACTCCAAACTCCACTATGGCCAAGACCAAAGAGCTGTCAAAGGACACCAGAAACAAAATTGTAGACCTGCACCAGGCTGGGAAGACTGAATCTGCAATAGGTAAGCAGCTTGGTTTGAAGAAATCAACTGTGGGATCAATTATTAGGAAATGGAAGACATGCAAGACCACTGATAATCTCCCTCGATCTGGGGCTCCACGCAAGATCTCACCCCGTGGGGTCAAAATGATCACAAGAACGGTGAGCAAAAATCCCAGAACCACACGGGGGGACCTAGTGAATGACCTGCAGAGAGCTGGGACCAAAGTAACAAAGCCTACCATCAGTAACACACTACGCCGCCAGGGACTCAAATCCTGCAGTGCCAGACGTGTCCCCCTGCTTAAGCCAGTACATGTCCAGGCCCGTTTGAAGTTTGCTAGAGTGCATTTGGATGATCCAGAAGAGGATTGGGAGAATGTAATATGGTCAGATGAAACCAAAATAAAACTCAACTCGTCGTGTTTGGAGGACAAAGAATGCTGAGTTGCATCCAAAGAACACCATACCTACTGTGAAGCATGGGGATGGAAACATCATGCTTTGGGGCTGTTTTTCTGCAAAGGGACCAGCACGACTGATCCGTGTAAAGGAAAGAAGGAATGGGGCCATGTATCGTGAGATTTTGAGTGAAAACCTCCTTCCATCAGCAAGGGCATTGAAGATGAAACCTGGCTGGGTCTTTCAGCATAACAATGATCCCAAACACACCGCCCGGGCAACGAAGGAGTGGCTTCGTAAGAAGCATTTCAAGGTCCTGGAGTGGCCTAGCCAGTCTCCAGATCTCAACCCCATAGAAAATCTTTGGAGGGAGTTGAAAGTCCGTGTTGCCCAGCGACAGCCCCAAAACATCACTGCTCTAGAGGAGATCTGCATGGAGGAATGGGCCAAAATACCAGCAACAGTGTGTGAAAACCTTGTGAAGAATTACAGAAAACGTTTGACCTGTGTCATTGCCAACAAAGGGTATATAACAAAGTGTTGAGAAACTTTTGTTATTGACCAAATACTTATTTTCCACCATAATTTGCAAATAAATTCATTAAAAATCCTACAATGTGATTTTCTGGATTTCTTTTTCTCATTTTGTCTGTCATAGTTGACGTGTACCTATGATGAAAATTACAGGCCTCTCTCATCTTTTTAAGTGGGAGAACTTGCACAATTAGTGGCTGACTAAATACTTTTTTCCCCACTGTATTTACTGGTTTTATCTACATTTATTTCAAATGACACTTTCCTACTGATGGTAAATGTCCTGTCTGTTTTGAAAACTGAATGAACAAGAAAATATTCTGGCCTTTTTGTTTGTAGGATACCGTCCAATTATTATTTATTCATGCTGGAAAAAGGGACAGGTGGGAAATTACCACAACATTTCTCCTCTCCTCTCCTCTCCTCTCCTCTCCTCTCCTCTCCTCTCCTCTCCTCTCCTCTCCTCTCCTCTCCTCTCCTCTCCTCTCCTCTCCTCTCCTCTCCTTTTCTCTCCTCTCCCCTTCTCCTCTTCTCCTCCTCTCCTCCCCTCCTCTCAGGGTTATTGGGTCTTCTTCATGGTGGATGGTAACGAGATGTTCCCAGCCTTCTACAAAGCCTTGCAGCTCTTAGACTTCTACCTGGGCCTCCTCCTATCATTCAACCCTGTATTTGGAGTGGACGTGAGTAACTGGACACGCCTGTACACTGAAATTGTAACACAACACAGGACTTTAAGGTGATGGCATACAGAGAAAAGTCTGATAGAGACTCAAGTTGTACTTTACATTGCTGCGATTTATTGCAAGCTCTGTTGCTTGACTTATTGCTCTGTGATATTTGTCTGGCTTGTGACACGCTGCTTATTGTGTTGATGTGATTTTTGTCTGGCTGATGCCATGTGACTGTTAGTCTGATACTGATGTCTGGCTGATGCCATGTGACTGTTTGTCTGATACTGATGTCTGGCTGATGCCATGTGACTGTTTGTCTGATACTGATGTCTGGCTGATGCCATGTGACTGTTTGTCTGATACTGATGTCTGGCTGATGCCATGTGACTGTTTGTCTGATACTGATGTGTTGATGCTGCTGTTTTGTCTTGAAAAATAGATTTGATCACAATGAGACTAAGCTGGTTAAATAAAGGTTAAATAAAAATGTGTCCCACATCCTCTCTCTCTTTCTCTCTCTCTCTGTGTGTGTGTGCGTGCGTGTGTGTGTGTGCGCGTGTGTGTGTGCATGCGTGTGTGAATGTGCATGCGCGTGTGTGCGTGTGTTGAACAGTCTGTGTGCGTGTTGGTGGAGATGGAGAAGACCAAGAGCTACTGGGTCCTTCGGGCCACTGAAGGCATCGGCATGGCTGTCCTTATCTTCATGGTAGGTACCTCTCACACCCTGATGAACTCTGCACGGCTCTCCCATGATCTGACCCCCCAATTAGAAGAATTTGACAAATTCTTTCCAAAATCTTTTCAATCTATCAGACGTCTTTTCAACCAAAAATACTTATTGTCAACGGCTTTTGAAGTTTTATAATACCCACATGGCAGTCATAGACACTGAAATACATAGGCATGGCGTACATAAATTGTTTTAGAATAATTTAGAAGTAATAAGATGTCATAAGTAGGGGATCTCTTGTATCTCTCAGTCCTGGCGTGTGGGACAGAGAGGAGGTGGTTCTGCCTTTCACTTATCCTCGACAGGCAGGTAACCAGTCTCGGAAACGGGGACTTGTAGAGATATATTTCAAAATCCAGGCACAGCTGCTCTCTTCTCTCTTCAAGTGTTTGCAGTGCTTTTTCAACATATTTTGCTCATAGGACAAGGTCTACTGTGACCTAGAGACGGCACTTAACATTTCTGAAATGTGCATTTCGATGCTGTGTCTCCAGATCTACCGCATTGTGTGTAAATTGGGGTACAGTGAAGCATGGTGGTCCGCGACGGTGGTGACTGACCATGGGGACAGACGTCAGTCAGTGAGTCGCCAGCCTTCCTTCACCCTGTCAGAGTGGACAGACGCCCAGGAGGACCTGATGGACCTAGAAGCTGAACCCCAGACACCTGTCTTTGACCTGGGTCTGGACACCAGGACAGAGGGGGACATAACCACCCTCTCTGTTACACCTGTGGGCCTGCAGGAGAGGTCAGTGGGCAGATGGAGGTGGAGAGGTGGTCTACAGAGGGGGGGGGGGGGGGGGGGGGGGGGGTCTCTGTGTGTGTGTGTGTGTGTGTGTGTGTGTGTGTGTGTGTGTGTGTGTGTGTGTGTGTGTGTGTGTTCATGCGTTTTTCTTGTGTGTGTTGTTCTGCCCCTGTGTGTGTGTGCACAATTACAGTACGTTCTTCTTGTATGTGTCTGTGTGTTCATTCTTCTTGTACACTGTAAACCCCAATGTGCTGTCATTACTCATAACTTTTGTGGAAACCTTTTGCACTTAATATATCTGAGTACAGTTACTTGAAGTGATTTTGTAGTCATTACTCAAACCGATTGTCAATGTGACCCTGTAGGGGGTCCAGATTTGAGTTGTGTCCGTTTGATCATTTTGAGTACCTCCCCCACTAAGCCACCCACCCCTCCAATATAATTTCCCAGTGTGCCTTGCCTTTTCGAGTGAATTGTACAGATGTAGGATCTTAATTTTATCACTCTTTTGTTGCTGAGGATTTTCCTTGTTGTAGTGTATTCGAGGTTTAAAAAGGCTTCTAAAGTTTGTAATTTCCACTTTAAAATGTCAGACTTGATTTGCCCTAAAGAAAAATTTATCAACCCCTTCAAAAAAATGTCCATTAATTATAATCCACATTTCCTCTTTCTGCAGGATTATTTTCCTGCTGTAGCAAACTCAAATTAAGATCTTACATCAGTAGAGTTACCACCAATGACTATATTTGTTATATCCCTTTCATACTAAGACGTTTTCCCCCCAACTTTACCATACCGCCAACTTTTTTCCGCCTTTTCTTTATATCTGAAAGGTATTGCCGGTATCAAAGCCGAAATGTATATTTCCGCCTAATGACCTAGTAATCATTTCGGTAAAGTTCTGCCTACGGCTTAGTATGAAACGTAGCGGCATTGGCACACACTATATATATGGCTCTCTCTTAAACTCTTGATGGTTGCTACACTCTTAGAAAAAAGGGTTCCAAAAGGGTTCTTTGCGGAGGGATAGGGGTCTACCAAGAACTGTTTTGATCAGAATAACCCTTTTTGGAAGACAAGGATTCTTTGTAAGTCAAAGGTTTATACCTAGAACCTTTAACATCCTAAGAACTGTTTTTGGAAGAAAGGGTTCTTTGATGATTATTTGGGAGGTAAGAAGGGTTCTATATAGAACCATATATAATATTTCCCAGCATGCTCTATTGCAGGGAGTTTTTCAGAATTGTTTGTTTTACTGTAATATCTGTGTTTTTGCATGTACATTGATTGGTTTATTCATTTTATACTAAACAAAGAGTTTTCTAAACTAATCCAATCTGTTGGATTTATAGCACCCGTTACTGAGATGGTTGTCCCAGTTTAGATGATAGGGGTAGTCTCAGTATTAGCTCTTCCCTACCGTGGCAGTCATTCAGAATGCAGGTTGCCAGTGATTAACAATTCCACTTGTTGGATATCCAAACTCTGGCTGGATTCCAATAGGAATTATATATCACTTTGCAAGCCAGTATAATGTGACTTGCAGGCTTGATGTGGCCTGTAAACCAGGAGATTCCTAACACCACTGAGTTTTGGTATAACTAGGCCCTCAAAGAATTACTGTTGGAATGATATACACTGAGTGTACAAAACATTAAGAACACCTTCCTAATATAATATTGACATCAATAAGGGATCATAGCTTTCACCTGGATTCACCTTCATAGAGGGTTCTAGGCAGAACCCTTCATAGAGGGTTGTCGCTAGAACCATATACAGGGGGTTCTTTGAAGAACCCTACATAACCCTCTGCAAAGGGTTCTACCCAGCACCGAAAAGGGTTCCCCTATGGGGACAAACCGAAGAACCCTGTATGGGTATACTTAGCATATTTTTTTCTAATAGTGTAGGCAGCCATTAACCATCCTCCTGGCAGTTCTAAACTTTGCGAAGCATGTCACTTCGCCCATGTCTTCGCTTAGCCCACCACATGAACTGTTTTCTTAACCACAACTGGATGGATCCATAAAGAATTACTGTTGGAATGAATATCACTGAATGACCAAAATATTGAACTAAAGTAGGCTAATGTAATTGAAGGCATGTATCAAATAGTTTCTTACTGAAACTCACCAAGTCATCCAATTGTTGTAATAAATTTGAAGCAATAGCCTACCCGCTTGTGGTCAACTAGATGATAATTTCAGCACCATTTTGATTGGGACAGTGCTATTGCGCTGATATGAGACAAGCGTGTGGTGGGGATGAATAAAATCAATCAATGTCCGATTTTTGTTTTCACTGAATCTGCTTTGGATATTGGTTAGGCTACAGTCATGCTGGGGAAATGTTGGCTAAGTTAAGGTGAGGGCTGCTCATGATCATCTTGTCTAGTTGGCTCATTTATTACTACATTTTGCCAGCATTTTATATAGTTTAACAAGTGGATCATTTTTCTCTTCACTCACAGATGCTTAGTAGCCTGGGCCTACTCCCCACCAAAAGCCTGTGACTTTACTGACTTGTCTCAATTGTTTCACTGAATCCCTCTGTATAGGGTATTTGGTTAATTTGGTTTCTTGCTTGGCAAATAAGTGTAGGTGGTAAAGCTCATCTATTTGTTTGGTAATCTATCACTGATCAGAAACATTTAGCATGCAATAATGTAGCCTAAATCAAGTGTAGGCCTATTATTTTGCTTGATCGCATAAAGGCAACTCCAAAAGCCCGCGGAGGTAGTGAAATATGAACACGAGACTCACATGCTGATGAAAATAGGATCGCTATTATTTTCTATCGGTATCATTACATTTTAGTCATTTAGCAGACACTCTTAACCAGAGCGACTTACAGTTAGTGAGTGCATACATTTTTCATACTGGCCCCCCGTGGGAATCGAACCCACCCACAACCCTGGCGTTGCAAGCGCCATGCTCTACAAACTGAGCTACACGGGGCCTCATGATGAAGACACTCTCAATGTAAGACCCTACGCCTGCTGCCCAACAAAGTGGCGTGAGGGTAGGAAAGAGATGAAATGTGGATCAAAATAGCAAGGGCTCTGCTTAACAATATCACCTTTGTTTTTTGGACAGAGGTTCCACAGGTGACTGACACCAGTTGTATGGGAAAATATTATTTGTATTTTATTTTGTTATATTCCATTATATTCTTACTATAAAATACAGTGGGGGAAAAAAGTATTTAGTCAGCCACCAATTGTGCAAGTTCTCCCACTTAAAAAGATGAGAGAGGCCTGTAATTTTCATCATAGGTACACGTCAACTATGACAGACAAATTGAGAAAAAGAAATCCAGAAAATCATATTGTAGGATTTTTTATGAATTTATTTGCAAATTATGGTGGAAAATAAGTATTTGGTCACCTACAAACAAGCAAGATTTCTGGCTCTCACAGACCTGTAACTTCTTCTTTAAGAGGCTCCTCTGTCCTCCACCTGTTTCCTGTATTAATGGCACCTGTTTGAACTTGTTATCAGTATAAAAGACACCTGTCCACAACCTCAAACAGTCACACTCCAAACTCCACTATGGCCAAGACCAAAGAGCTGTCAAAGGACACCAGAAACAAAATTGTAGACCTGCACCAGGCTGGGAAGACTGAATCTGCAATAGGTAAGCAGCTTGGTTTGAAGAAATCAACTGTGGGAGCAATTATTAGGAAATGGAAGACATACAAGACCACTGATAATCTCCATCGATCTGGGGCTCCATGCAAGATCTCACCCCGTGGGGTCAAAATGATCACAAGAACGGTGAGCAAAAATCCCCGAACCACACGGGGGGACCTAGTGAATGACCTGCAGAGAGCTGGGACCAAAGTAACAAAGCCTACCATCAGTAACACACTACGCCGCCAGGGACTCAAATCCTGCAGTGCCAGACGTGTCCCCCTGCTTAAGCCAGTACATGTCCAGGCCCGTCTGAAGTTTGCTAGAGTGCATTTGGATGATCCAGAAGAGGATTGGGAGAATGTCATATGGTCAGATGAAACCAAAATATAACTTTTTGGTAAAAACTCAACTCGTCGTGTTTGGAGGACAAAGAATGCTGAATTGCATCCAAAGAACACCATACCTACTGTGAAGCATGGGGGTGGAAACATCATGCTTTGGGGCTGTTTTTCTGCAAAGGGACCAGGACGACTGATCCGTGTAAAGGAAAGAATGAATGGGGCCATGTATCGTGAGATTTTGAGTGAAAACCTCATTCCATCAGCAAGGGCATTGAAGATGAAACGTGGCTGGGTCTTTCAGCATGACAATGATCCCAAACACACCGCCCGGGCAACGAAGGAGTGGCTTCGTAAGAAGCATTTCAAGGTCCTGGAGTGGCCTAGCCAGTCTCCAGATCTCAACCCCATAGAAAATCTTTGGAGGGAGTTGAAAGTCTGTGTTGCCCAGCGACAGCCCCAAAACATCACTGCTCTAGAGGAGATATGCATGGAGGAATGGGCCAAAATACCAGCAACAGTGTGTGAAAACCTTGTGAAGACTTACAGAAAACGTTTGACCTGTGTCATTGCCAACAAAGGGTATATAACAAAGTATTGAGAAACTTTTGTTATTGACCAAATACTTATTTTCCACCATAATTTGCAAATAAATTCATTAAAAATCCTACAAAAATCCTACAGTTGACGTGTACCTATGATGAAAATTACAGGCCTCTCTCATCTTTTTAAGTGGGAGAACTTGCACAATTGGTGGCTAACTAAATACTTTTTTCCCCCACTGTATATGTGATTGGGGTATGTCTTGTCTGTTTAATGAACAAAATAATGAACTATTGATTTCAAGGCATTTTTTTTACTCAAATACTTCTAGTAAGTTGTACTCAAAGTCAATAAAAAGTTATTATTACTTCAAATGTTTATGTGGTATTGTCTCAAAACTAAATGAGAAGTCACACCAACAACATTTTTGAAAGATATTATAAGAAATTATTTTTTTCCCAGCATGCCCTACTGCAAGTACATTTTGAATGTACATTGAGTGATTGATTGATTAAATGTTATGCTACAAAAATATGAGATTTTTCTAAACTAATCCAATCATTAAAAAAATGTTTTACTGAAATGGTTGTTCCAGTTTAAATGGCTTAGGTAGTTTCCTCCCACTGTTCTTAACTCTGGCAGTCATTATGAATGCTGGTTGTGGGTGAATACAAATGTCAACTGTTGGATAGCCTAACGCTGGCTAAATTCCAATTGGAATTACACATCACTTTGCGAGCCAGCGTAATGTGATTTACAGTTAGGTTGCAAAATTCTGGTCAATTTCCCAGGTTTTCCAGAAATACCGGTTGGAAGCTTCCAGTAAAAAGTTTTGGGAAAGTTTGTGGAATTTTGCAACCTTACTTGGAGGCCACTGTATAAGGCCTTATGATATACGTAATGGTTCAAGTATACTATCCGCCTAGGAACTTGGTGAAGGACACAAGACAGAAAATAAATGAATTCAACAACCATGCCTCTGTCACTAACAAATACAGTCATGGGTGGTAACTTTACAATTCAATCGAAAAGGCAAGGCACACTGGGAAATTATTGGAGGCGTGGCTTAGTGGGGGCATTAAATTTAAGTATACCTTACAAAAAAATTTGCATTTGTTTTACTCATATGAAGGTAGTACTGCTTACTTCAGCTATTTAAGTTCCTTAATCGGTTTCCTCAAAATGTTGGAATAGCCAGAACTTATCCGGTTTTACAGTGTGGATGTAACATAATTAAACTCAAAATATGCTATTCTATACATTTAAAAATACACGTTATTAGTGTTATAATGATTCTTAGAACCTGCATGAACGAATTAATAATGGAGTATATTCAATGGATTTATTCAAATAGATGCCCACCCACATCTGCACACCACTACTACCACTCATCACCGGCATGCAGGCATGTGCATGAGAGGTATAAAAGGCAAGCATGTGGTAAAAATGGGCCTGTTTGTAAAGGGGTCATAAAAACATTTTTTTACAGACAAAATACCGTAAATCATATGTGAAAGCAGTATTAGTGAAATCATTCATTCATTTTCCGGTCCTGTGGCCTTTACCTAGACGAATCTTAAAATGAATCTCTTTATGACATTACATATCTCATAAGGCCATATTTTACGGCCTAGCAAAATTCCATTAACTTTCCTGAAATTGCCAGGTTTCCTAAGAATCCTGGTTGAAGGATTTCCGGAAAACGTGGGAAATTTACTAGAAATGTGCATCTATATCTACAAGTTGCATGATGCTGAATTTGCATTCATAATGACAGACAGGGTTAGAAACTGGAACAACCATTTCAGTAACGGGTGCAAAAAATCTAACTAAATGATTGGATTCGTTTATCTTTGTTTATATTCTATTTTTGTGTAGCATAAAAATAATCAATGAATCACTCAATGTACATGCAAAAGCACAGATATTAAAAACAATTCCAAAATCTCAACGCTACAGTAAAGCATGCTGGGGAAAAAGTTAATTTGTTATCATAACTGACTTCTCATTTAGTTTTGAGTCAGTACCACATAAACATTGGAAGTAATAATGAGTTGACCTTACTAGAAGTATTTGAGTTAAAAATGCCTTGGGGATTACAGTGTATGTGTCAGTGCCGTCCTGTGTGTGTGTGGGTATGTGTGTGTGTGTGTTAGGAGGGGCTCCAACGTGTCCCTGACCCTGGACATGTGTTCTCCTGGCTGTACGGAGCCCTATGGCTATGGAGCCCAGCTCTCCCCCAGAGACCAGACTGCCAAGGAGTACCTGAGAGAGGGAACAAACACACTCAATCCTGCCCAGCTCCACACTCGCGCTATGGACGACCAAGCCCTACAGGCAGAGTTCTATGTGAGTAACACACAAACCCATTTAGGAGCACTCTACACCCAGAGGCTACTATAAACATTGGGTGAGATGCGGACACAGTGAAAGACATTAGCATACCCAGCTCCATAGAGGATGTATTACACCTTTAGGCTGAGATACACAATCACACACACACACACACACACACAATCACACACACACACACACTCTCTCTAAGACCCAGGTAGGTCTACACACTCACAATCACACACACACTCTCTCTCTAAGACCCAGGTAGGTCTACACACACACTCTCTCTCTCTAAGACCCAGGTAGGTCTACACACACACTCTCTCTCTCTAAGACCCAGGTAGGTCTACACAATCACACTCACAATCACACACACACTCTCTCTCTAAGGTAGATGTACACACTCACTATTAGTGTAAACCAAGATTTCCTAAACTCGGTCCTGGGGCCCCACCTGGGTGCACCGACTTTGGGAAACCCTGGTCTAAACTGTGTGTGTAATACCCACAAACCACAAACAAAGACGAGCGCACACAATCATGCACCAGGGACAACATTTCCTGGACATACATCACTAAGCTACTGTACATCCATTGTTCTGTTGCCAGGAAACTCCCATGAACTTTGTGGACCCAAAGGAGTACAACTATCCAGGCCTGGTGAGGAAGAACCGCTATAAGACCATCCTACCCAGTGAGTGGAAACACTACAAACAGCCGCCATTTTGAATCTGTCACAAAAATGGGACGTAGAATAGAGGTTGTGTGAGACAGAGAGAGAGAGACACTGGACACACGCGCTCACAAATAAAAGCAGAGACACACAAACACACAAATACACACACAGGCAGTTGTCTGGGTCTTGTGATGTGGTCCTGTGTTTTCCAGATACACACAGTAGAGTGATCCTACAGACAGCAGATAAAGATGAATTCCTCAGTACCTACATCAACGCTAACTACCTACAGGTAGGGGTGGGGGGGTTGATCACATCTCGCTTAGGGCCCCCAAAAGGCTAGGGCCTTGTGTACAGGTTTTCTCATCCATGGTCCTGTGAGAACTTCTGTGTTGCTGTCCACAGGGATACGGGGGTGAGGAGCGGGCGTACATCGCGACCCAGGGTCCTACAGTCAACACGGTGGGAGACTTCTGGAGGATGGCGTGGCAGGAACGCTGTCCTATCATCGTCATGATCACTAACCTAGAGGAGAAGAACGAGGTAGGGAGGGAGGGAGGGAGGAATGGGGAAAGAGATAGACTAGAGGTAAATGTCCAATGTGAACTCTGGCTATGTGTTGCCCCTTACAGAAATGTGTGGAGTACTGGCCTGAGGACTCTGTGATCCATGAGGGCATCCTGATCACGGTTGTCACGGTAACCCAGGAGGACGATTACAGCCTGAGGGTCTTCACTCTGAAGGTGAGACTAATACCACAGTATGCATCTATACACCAATGCCAAGAACACCAAGGACCCCACAGGAGGCTGGAATGGAGCAAATGGAATGGCATCAAACACCTGGAAACCATGTGTTTGATGTATTTGATACCATTCCACTCCAGTCATTACCACAAGCCCGTTCTCTCCAATTAAGATGCCACCAACCTCATGCCACCAACATTTTAGTAATTTAGCAGACGCTCTTATCCAGAGCGACTTACAGTTAGTGAGTGCATACATTATTTTATTTTTTTCATACTGGCCCCCCGTGGGAATCGAACCCACAACCCCTGGCGTTGCAAACGCCATGCTCTACCAACTGAGCTACATCCCTGCCGGCCATTCCCTCCCCTACCCTGGACGACGCTGAGCCAATTGTGTGCCCACGCACACACACACACACACACAGGTGTCAGGAAATGGTTCCTCCACTGCGCCACTCGGGAGGTAGTGAAAATGACAAAATGCAGTTGAAGTTTTTTCATTGACCCTTTTGAATGATCACTTCTCATCCACTAAACAGAACCTCTCAGTGTAGACATACAGATAGGTAAGCTGCCACAAGGACATCTATTGGAAAATGATATGAAATCACACAATGAAAAACAGACCAAAAGTAACCCGGAGTTCCTCTCGCTCTGCAGTCATTGGTGTTGCAGCAACTAACTCCTGTAACAGTTTGGATGTACATGTTTCTGTGTGTGTGTGCGTGTGTGCGTGTGCGTTAATGTATGTGTGACAGTGTGATGGAGAGGAGCGCAGCCTCAGGCAGTACTGGTACACCTCCTGGCCTGACCAGAAGACACCGGACAAAGCCCCGCCCCTCCTGGAGCTGGTACAGGAAGTGGAGCAGGCCAGAGTGGAAGCTCCGCCCACCAGCGGCCCTGTCATCGTTCACTGCAGGTGGAGTTGGAAACACAGACATGATACCCACACATAGTACCGTCAATAGGGAGGATGTCTCAGTGGATTTTTTGGAAGATCTGTGCCCCTAGAGATAGAAGACAGCAGCATTGCAGCTCTGATAGCTTTCAGCCAGGTCAGAAATGCTCTAAAACTGTGGTTGGTCAGGTCTAATACATTAATGGTTCCTCCTCCTCCTCTTCATCATCATCATCATCCTCATCTTCTTCTTCTACTTCCTCCTCCTCGTCATCATCATCTTCATCATCTTCCTCCACCTCCTCCTCTTCATCATCATCTTCCTCATCTTCTTCTTCTACTTCCTCCTCCTCGTCATCATCATCTTCATCATCTTCCTCCACCTCCTCCTCTTTATCATCCTCCTCCTCTTCCTCTTCATCCTCCTTCTCCCAGTGCTGGGATTGGTCGAACAGGCTGTTTCATTGCCACCTCCATCCTGTGTAAACAGCTGAGGAGTGAGGGCGTGGTCGACATACTGAGGACTACCTGCCAGCTCCGCCTCGACAGGTCAGTCTACCGCCTGTCTTTCTTTACACCTGTCTGTCTTTGTCTCTTTCCTGACACCTGTGTGTGTGTGTGTGTGTGTGTGTGTGTGTGTGTGTGTGTGTGTGTGTGTGTGTGTGTGTGTGTGTGTGTGTGTGTGTGTGTGTGTGTGTGTGTGTGTGTGTGTGTGTGTGTGTGTGTGTGTGTGTGTGTGTGTGTGTGTGTGTGTGTGTGTGTGTGTGTGTGTGTGTGTGTGTGTGTGTGTGTGTGTGTGTGTGTGTGTGTGTGTGTGTGTGTGTGTGTGTGTGTGTGTGTGGCAGAGGCGGGATGATCCAGACGGGTGAGCAGTACCAGTTTGTGCACCATGTCCTCAGCCTGTACGAGAAGCAGCTGTCCCACACTGCAGAGGAGTAGAGCGCCACACCACTACTGTACCTCCATCTTAATGTCACCCTTTAACGCACAGACAACCACAACACACTGTCAGCCTCATCCAGCCCCCTTCCATTTCAGAGGCCCACATACAAAAGCCCAATCTTGACTTGAGAACCTTGCTTATAAGGCAAGATGGAATCTGCTGAGGTTGAATTTCCATTATGCTGCCAGAAATTATTTTAAATGAAACTACTGCAATGTATTAAAACAATTTTACTGAGTTGCTTTGCGGATGATGCTCTAAAAGTAGTGATGATGAAACTTTCTGTCACTTCTAACTCAAACATTTGTTTTCACACTTGCCAGAGGTCTATCCAGGATATCGTATCCGGTATGCCCTATCAAGTGCCAGTTAATTTGGGATTATTCAGATTTCTCCAGATCAGAAAAAGTTCAGCCTATATTAAAACAGTGATGTTAAACAATCTCACAGTGAGGGGTCACGTGTTCGTCTGAAACGTAAACATGCCAAACTATCCCCTATGAGCAATATACGTTAAAAAGACGTTGAAAAGACGTTGAAAATACATATTTTCAACATCTTGTGCTCACTGGGTCTCTTCATGTTAAAACAGTACAGCAGGCCTTTCAAACTCCTGGTGCAGTCAGGAGCCACCTCATCTTCAGGTTGCATGGTGCTATGTGTTCTTTACAATTGACTGAGCCATGTACCATAGAACTCTACGGAACCATAGAGGAATGTAACCATTAGGTAACTAGGCATTGTGTGCAGTCCCTACGGTATTACAGTATCATGTGTATGTGCAGTCAGTCCGTCATCATCATGACTTCCATGGTGTTTGCCGTCAGACACAGGCATTATGGCCTCATAGACTTTCACACAGAGGCATTACAGTGGGGGAAAAAAGTATTTAGTCAGCCACCAATTGTGCAAGTTCTCCCACTTAAAAAGATGAGAGAGGCCTGAAATTTTCATCATAGGTACACGTCAACTATGACAGACAAATTGAGGGAAAAAAATCCAGAAAATCACATTGTAGGATTTTTTATGAATTTATTTGCAAATTATGGTGGAAAATAAGTATTTGGTCACCTACAAACAAGCAAGATTTCTGGCTCTCACAGACCTGTAACTTCTTCTTTAAGAGGCTCCTCTGTCCTCCACTCGTTACCTGTATTAATGGCACCTGTTTGAACTTGTTATCAGTATAAAAGACACCTGTCCACAACCTCAAACAGTCACACTCCAAACTCCACTATGGCCAAGACCAAAGAGCTGTCAAAGGACACCAGAAACAAAATTGTAGACCTGCACCAGGCTGGGAAGACTGAATCTGCAATAGGTAAGCAGCTTGGTTTGAAGAAATCAACTGTGGGAGCAATTATTAGGAAATGGAAGACATACAAGACCACTGATAATCTCCCTCGATCTGGGGCTCCACGCAAGATCTCACCCCGTGGGGTCAAAATGATCACAAGAACGGTGAGCAAAAATCACAGAACCACACGGGGGGACCTAGTGAATGACCTGCAGAGAGCTGGGACCAAAGTAACAAAGCCTACCATCAGTAACACACTACGCCGCCAGGGACTCAAATCTTGCAGTGCCAGACGTGTCCCCCTGCTTAAGCCAGTACATGTCCAGGCCCACCTGAAGTTTGCTGGAGTGCATTTGGATGATCCAGAAGAGGATTGGGAGAATGTCATATGGTCAGATGAAACCAAAATATAACTTTTTGGTAAAAACTCAACTCGTCGTGTTTGGAGGACAAAGAATGCTGAGTTGCATCCAAAGAACACCATACCTACTGTGAAGCATGGGGGTGGAAACATCATGCTTTGGGGCTGTTTTTCTGCAAAGGGACCAGGACGACTGATCCGTGTAAAGGAAAGAATGAATGGGGCCATGTATCGTGAGATTTTGAGTGAAAACCTCCTTCCATAAGCAAGGGCATTGAAGATGAAACGTGGCTGGGTCTTTCAGCATGACAATGATCCCAAACACACCGCCCGGGCAACGAAGGAGTGGCTTCGTAAGAAGCATTTCAAGGTCCTGGAGTGGCCTAGCCAGTCTCCAGATCTCAACCCCATAGAAAATCTTTGGAGGGAGTTGAAAGTCTGTGTTGCCCAGCGACAGCCCCAAAACATCACTGTTCTAGAGGAGATATGCATGGAGGAATGGGCCAAAATACCAGCAACAGTGTGTGAAAACCTTGTGAAGACTTACAGAAAACGTTTGACCTGTGTCATTGCCAACAAAGGGTATATAACAAAGTATTGAGAAACTTTTGTTATTGACCAAATACTTATTTTCCACCATAAATTGCAAATAAATTCATTAAAAATCCTACAATGTGATTTTCTGGATTTTTTTCTTCTCATTTTGTCTGTCATAGTTGACGTGTACCTATGATGAAAATTACAGGCCTCTCTCATCTTTTTAAGTGGGAGAACTTGCACAATTGGTGGCTGACTAAATACTTTTTTCCCCACTGTATGTGACCACTGAGACTGAGGGGGCGTGTGCATGTCTCATCTCCTGGGTTCATACATGAGATGTAACGACCGTCACAAAGCATAAGAATCCAGAGATAGAGGTGTAGCAAAACTTGCCCCTGTTCCTTTTTAGAGGGTGTAAAATAGCCTGGGTGCCAGTCTGCGTCGGCTCGGTGACAACCTCTTATGGAATTGTCATGCTTTGATCATGACAACGCAGTCGACAAAACCACAAACAGGTCTGGGACCTGGATAGGAGTAAAACATAAACAAGCAGAAAAGTACAAATGTAAAGGTTGTGAGAAGAAACAACATCTCAAACTGGAGTTTAACTAAACCCTATTTGATAGTTTTGCTTTCTTTCTTAGTTGTTATTTCCCATCTCTCACAAAGGATGCATGCTGGGTAAACCTGACCCTCCTAACCCTTCCCATCAGCGCCCCCTCAGTGGTGTTGGGATGATGACACCTCTACTATCAAAAGTAGCCTGAACACATGCGTGACGTTAGCTGCCCGTGATTGTTGTATAGATAGGCCAAGCCTAATCCGAATGAAGCACAATAGATCAACTATGGTTGTCTCTCTGATGTTCAGCTGTAGATGTTATTTTCTGTATCGTGTTTTGACTGTGTTGACTTAAATGGATTGCATGTTCTGTATGGGACTCTCGTAGGTCGACAATCAAAGCGAAGTGATTGGTTGTCCAGCTTTCCGTTGTGTAAGGGTTCTCCTATTATGTTGCGATGCTTTTGATACAGTTTGCTTTTGTGAAACCAACCAGAGATATTTTTAGAACATTTTGATACAATCCTTTCGAGTAGATGCCTTGTGTATATTACCATTTACACCACAATGGAATGTAGCTCATACTGTGGTCAAACCATTGGTTTATATCGCAAGATTTGACAGATAAAGAAAATGTGACAACTACCTAAGTTACCTTACAACAACAACAAAAACACCTGATTATGTTTTGTCTTCAGTATTACTTTGATGCCTCTAGGCTTTGCTTTAATATGCTTTGCTTTACGTGTCCAAGGTTTTTATCTTGTTTTCAGTTTTCACACAGTCCTTACACATTCCCCATATTCAAATCAATTACATAAGGAAAATCACACTGTGGGTTCACTCCAATTGTTCACGCTGTAGTAAGGACAGGTATGGAGTGTGGTTTCTCTTCAATGCCAATGTCCATGAGAGGAACAGCTTGCAGCCAGGGTTTAAATGTGGTTATCACCTCAAATACTTAACATTCTGACCTACAGTGTGGTTTCTCTTGGTGTGTAACTGATTGAATTGGGGCTTGTGACTTTAGGCCAGTCTGGCTTTACAACAACTTGAGAAATAATATGAGCTACGTGTATGGCAGCTAAAACAATGATTAAGAGTTGTATGTAAGAAATCTCTAACAACTTTCATCTTGATTGAATACAACTGGTCAATTACAGCGAACATCACCAGGAGACAATCTCCTTGTTTTGGTTTAAAAGGCATCTCAAGAAGTGAGCACTAGTATTTCATCCTCTGATTGAAACTGACATAAAATGTTGAGTTTTGCAGATGGAAAAGAACTGAAACTTGGAGAAGCTGGAAATTAAACTGTGAAATCCTTTCCTGATAACGCTTGTTGCAATTGATCCAACAGCTTTATTTTGAGTGCTTGTTTTCTGTGCTGACCCGGTCTCATTCTGGTGATGTAGTGAGAAAGAAGATAGGCATAATTGAAATAGCCAATCCAATGAGCAAAATTTGTTTAAAAAACGTGGAAAATATGTATCTTTGGTTAAAAATCTTTTTGGTTGAAAAGATGTTGAAAATACATTTTTGGTTGAAAGGATTTTGAAAATGCGTGTTTTTGGTTGAAAAGATGTTGAAAATGAATCCTTTTGGTTGAAAAAACATTGAAAGCCAGTTTTCGACCAGTTCTGCTCACTGGGAAAATATCAGACATACTCCATCCAACCAGCAAACAACCTACTCCTCTCCTCTGCTACTACAGTATTGCTTTAAATTGTGAGTTTTTGCATCCAAATAAAAGTAGATTTTCATGAATCTGTGTTGTCTGACTCTGAATAGCGAAGTTAAAACCAGTTTTAAAAACAACACATTTATATGAATGTCTTTATCATAGTATTACTTCACTAATGGCACATTTCCATGGAAGATTTACCCCAGTCTTTTACCCAAAACGCTCAGACTTTTCTGTTTCCATCTACGCAGCCTGGTACCCGTGTCTCACTGGGCCATGGGTCCGGCGGATCTGGAGCCAAGGCAAGGCCCTTGGTACTTTTCAGCTCACATTTACATAACAATGGCTAACTGTGAACTTTTAACACATCACAAAGCAACAGTCTTGAATGATGCAGAGGTTGTTGATTCTGCTCGCCACAAGTCTTTAGTGTCGCCCTCCTGATGGAAACAACATAACACTAGAGCTAACATAAATATAAATCACTGGCGACACCCTGGTGTGGGGGTAAATCTAGATTGAAAAGCACCATGAGGCAACACTCCACAGAGGATGAGACATGAGAATGCCTGCCGCAGTGGTTGTCAGTTGAAGTACACAACTATGACCACTAGGTGTCAGTCTATACAATGTAATACAGTGCTATATTGCGCAATGAATACAACACATAAAGAACGTTTCGTTCTATGAGAACAAAAGACGTGTAACTCTCACAATGAGCATTGATCACCACTACTATAGTATAATTATATTTGTATGGGTCTAATGCACTTTTATTTAGTGTTGATGTTGCTATTATTTTTCTTGGGTAGGCCTATGGTAACAGTGCAATTACAATGTAATATATTGTAGCTAAATGCGGGACAGGGAAGCGAACCCCG